TCTTTTAACAAGACCGAAAACGTTTGAAAGTTGTTATAATAAAGCGTCGGCTGCAAGAAAAGGTGTTTTAGTAAGTCTGTTATCTGGTTTTTCCCACGTCTAAAACAGTATTTTTTTCACAAAAACGAAATAATATTTTGTGTCGATATTTTACCATTATTAATAAAAATTCACAAATTAGACCCAGGGCCTTTCGGATCTCACAGTAGCAAGTAAATTACTCTCTCTTCAAAGCCAGTTTGCCATCAGAATTTTAGAGTGCTGCAGAACTGTTTTAACTAATGCATCTCTGATACGAGCGGAGCTCCTTCCTTTTCCACTATGTATTGTAGAAAAGGTTCTAAACTACTACAGACGTCAAGGCTCAACAATGGTCTCTATTGCTATCTATGGCTGTTCATATGCTACCACATTGCAATTACCCTACTATAATATGTCTGATATTATTCTGTAAACAAGATTATTTGGTGTCATATGCTTCCTCCATGGATATTCGTGCAGACAATATCTACACATATAGATCCAAAAGCTCCCGTCTTGTCGGCTCAAATGTCTGTATCTTCTTCCAAACTGACATATTTTGCCAAAAATATATTAGAAGGTACCGATACCGCCCACATACCTTTATCTATCAAGCTGAAGATGCTGACTACCAAGATGTTCAGTGGCCAAAAAGCAGCAAAATCAAAAAAAAAAAAAAAAAAAAACTTTGTCTTTCAACATTTACAGTAATTTCAATCTATTCTGAAAGCTCTATTAAATCATAATTGCAATAGCAATAAAATCGCATATATCCAGCACCATATTAATGTGAGGACCTAATCGAGGTCCGAATCATGTAAATCGCGATATTCCTATGTTTAAATAATAACGATAGATTAAATATGAGAAGGAGAGAAAATCCCTTAATCTAAACAACGCGGCACGAAAATGTAGACAACGAGTCTCGGATGACTCTAACACGTGTTAAACAAACTGTCAATGTCAGAGTGAAAAGTTACAAGTCAGAGACAAGTGGTCATATGCAGGTAGAACTTTGACCCCAGCGCTCATAAACAGTCAATCTAGGGAAACAATTTCTGAAAAGAGGGAAAGATGTAAGAGAGATAAATCATTGCATATGATCGTTCGAGTACCCAGAGGACAGAAATCGCGAGTAACGGAGCTAAATTATAAGCGCGAATCTTGCAATTTTGTCAACAATCCCCAAGAACAATCGACAGAACGGCGTCGAATCGGACCTTTCCCGTGACCCGAGTCGGTCTCGGTTTTCCCCAAAACAAAAGAGACCAATCGGAAAGCGGAAAAGGGGACGAGGGGCCAATCAAAAGTCCGAATAGTAAGAAAAAAAAACTATAAAAATCGGAAAATCAAGGTCAAGAGAGCTCTCCTCCGTAGTCCACAAAAGGTTGTGATTTAAATTGTGGTGTGTCGTCGCCAAGAACTTTGGACTCCACCGCTTCCTCCTTCCGATCGTCCGCCTAGCTTAGCGACCTCATCTCGTCCGCCCCGGGGCCCAACAGACGCCGAAGTTCTCGCCTCTCCGCATCTTCCACGAGAAGAACCCTAGTGAAGGACTGTCGATGTAAGCATAAATGTTAACAAATAAACGGCTTTCTTGTGTAAAACACTTGTCATCATTTGTCTCCTCCGTCACGGCCCACATACATACAACCCTTAGGTTCATCCTGATGCGGGATTAATGTCTCCCACTTAGGAGACGGCTACCTTACACAGGTGACGTGAAGTGGGTTTCAAGTCCCCTATCACCCCCGAATCGCAATCTTACATTAATATAAATATAATTATATTAATGTAAGATTGGACGTTTTTATGGACGTTAAATAATAAATGGTTTTTAGTAAGTCCGCTGCTCATTTAAAATCAACGGTTTGTTCAATATCAGCTATTGGTCTACATTCGACCAATCCTGTCGTGACATCAGTCGGCGATGACGTTTTACCGTATTATACGAGTCTCTTTTAGCATGTTTATACGAACACGATCGCAATTTTTTTGCCGTGTTATAAGAAAACGTATTGTATGAACCGTGTTATAAGGGGTTCGACTGTACATTGTCGTTCACTTTTGAACAATCACTGGAGATGACGATATAGAGTATATAAAAAAGTACAGTATATAACCAAGTAGTTGATCGCATTTACGAAGGAATACGACTCAAATGCCATATATCTCTTATCTCAACTGCTCATTACGCAAAAAATACAGTTTCCGTTTTAAAGCGATTCGGAGTCTTTTATGTCAGCAGAATACCCATTTTCGTAAATGAGTGTTGTCCCAAATAAAATGATGCCGAACTAAAACAGCGAATCGAGCCCAAACTCAGTCAATTTCATGTAGAGCACTTTCGATCCTCGTCGGCGTCAACACTAATTTCAGGAAAACCGCCTACTGAAAACCAGATTCCATAATAGAAGAAATAAAATTTGTAAATTTTGTGTTCCTGGATGAACTTATTGTAGGTATACAGAAGTTTGATGTTTGTGCACAGTTTTCGTTTACACAACCTTAATGAAATTTGGAAAACAGTATAAATATCTTTTTCCTTAAATTATTAGGTTAACATTCGAATGGTAAAATCACNAATTAACAGTTAAATATTTTAATTGAAATGAAGTTAATTTATAAACTTTGCAATTTTTACATATTAAATTTGATTGCTCAAACTACCACTCTGTGGCCATACCCAGCGCACGCAAACATATTTGTTAATCACTCATAACATTTTTTTAAAACTCTTTCTGCCCTGTGGTCACTGAGGGGCCTCTTTTAGCAAGCCCATTATCGGTTCGGTCTATTCGACAATAAAGTGGCTAGGTTATCACTTTATTGCCCAAACGGACAATAAAAATGGCCGAACGGACAAAGTTGTCACCTTTACTGTTCCGCCATCCACACGCTATCATACGTAAGTAATAAAATTAGGTCATCTTTTCGTGCATATTAAATACACGAAATGTTTGTGGTCCGCTTAAATTAACAATACTTGTGATTAATTTGGTTCGCCAATCAGAAACTTTGGGAACCAATTGCATTAAATAATTTCTAAGTTGCTGATTTTGTTTTATTCTTTCTAAGATACCGTTTTCAATCTGCGGTCAGCAACTGAATGTAGTTGTGGCAGGCACATTTTCAGGTTACTTCCAAAATGTAAATCAGTAAAAAAAATTACAGATTTGCCTAATAATCTGCTGTTTCAATTAACCGATTTCTTAATAATTAAGTGGTTTACGAATAATCGATTAATTTTTCTTTAATCAATAGCTTGGCTGGAGCCCGATTCTTAACTGTTGTCCATAATACCAATGGTTCAGAATTCAAAGAACAGAATACTGTACAGTACCTACGTTACGTATTCGAACATAAAACCGCAAAGTCTAACAACCTATAAATTCACGCGTGATGTGATTTCGAATATGCAACGTTTGTTGCTATTGGATATCGAACCTTCGGAATTATCGAAAGTATCAATAGTGATGACTCAGACCTGTGATTTATTTCGCGAAGTATGTTTCAATAGAACGGAGTGCTGCGAAATGATGCTAGGTGTGCCACGGCACAATGCCTCCGATAGAAGGAATTATGATGTTGATTCAAAAGGGATAATGATTTGCCTATTACATGGTTACTCTCACTAAATTTTGTTACAGAAGAACTTCTAACACGCTTCAAACTTTTACGTATTTACAATCATATTTTACAGAACGTATGCACGCGTTTACTTACAAACACCTTCTTAACATGAAGTCTGATTTCGGAGGCGGGTATATCTAGCAAAGGGGCCATGTAGACGATCGACTATCGAAAAAGTGGCCCTATTTAGGTGTTACATATGTGAAGAAGACTCGGAAAATTCTGCGTGTCTAACCCGTTCAAGATTAACGAATCCACGGAAAGTTCGTGTTCAGTGGTTTCAACTAGTCGGCCATTGGAAAGAATTTGATATATCTAAAATATTATTCTAAAATATACAGCTGCTGATTTAAAGAATGAAACAGACACTAGAGAATGCTGGAGTTTAATTAATTTGGTAAAGATATTTTGCAGTAGCGTAATTAGTATGTAATGTTTTAGTCAAAGTCAGAGGCTTTCCTAATAATTTTAGTCTACAGCATAGAAATAGGCATCTCTATATTATGGTTTGGGTGAGATGCCTACCGGATTTAAGAGAAAAAGCGTACTTTTCTAAAATATTTTATTATAAACTTAATAAAATTTATTTAATTTAGGCGCCTACTAAATTCAAAACAACAGAAACTGCTGTCAATGGAAGAAAATATGTTGAACAAGACTTAGTTCTTGCAGCTTAAACAGATAATTAGGAAGCAAGCTGAATTATTATGAAGCAAGCAAAGAAATTAAAATAACATATTGTACTTTTTTACAGAAAACTTAAAGATAATAATTTAGCAAAGCGAGCAGTTGGATCAAATTCATTTTATGTACTTAAAATGAAAAAAACACCTGTGTATCAAATAATTAAATTACAAAATCGAAACAAATAAAGCGAATTTGATTCGATATGCGACGTGCAAAAATGGATGCATGAAACATGTACTGTACAATATATGTAAAGAGTATAATGAATGTGGAAAGTATAAAAAACCTCATAAAAAACACGACATAGCATTTTTTAACTTTCTTCACTTTTAATGAAATCTAATTCTAATAAATTGTGGCGTAACATCCGAATGTTACCGTCACAAATTATTAGGAAGCCAACTCATCTATGTCATGATTTATAATAACTTTAAACACTACATACAGTTTATATATAAAATATGTATATACTTACATATATATGTGTTAGTGTGTGCGCACATATATATGCATCAATTAACCCGTAAGTAGACTAAAATTTTTAGTACATAATAAACAAGAAATTAATAATTATTGTCACATCAGAACATATTACTAAAAGGTGATAATAACATAAAATAAAAAAGTAAACTTAGATATATTTTATAAATTTACTGGCGCATAAATTTATTGTCGAATGGATATAGTAACTTTTTACAAAATAGTCGACAGTCAAATCTTAAAGTTTCTAAGAAATATTTGCTTTGACTTTTTCAGATTTCAAATTTTTCTGATAAGTTGGCAATCGATTTCTTTTTTCTAACACAAAAATACCTCATTTCCTTGTAGTAAGTCTACTGTTATTCGAACAGCCTATGGAGAAATTTAATTCAATAGCTTTATTGAATCAAATCTCTAATTTCAACTTTACAAGAAGGTGGTTTCTTTGCAACTAAAAGTTCCGTCAAAACAGACAGCGATGAATATACAGCACTGAGAACCTGTAAAACAATATTTACAAAATTATTATATATACCAAAAGAAAGTTACCTATTTACTACGATTCTTTCAATAAAATAGATTTGTAAATTATATACTCAGTTATAAATAATATTTTTAACACTTTAATAAACTCGAACGGAATATATTTGAACGAACTTACTCGAATAAAGAAGTTTTTCTTAACATAAAAGAATCCACCGATGCTTATTCCAAATGGAGTTTTACCGTACCTTTTCATAAAGTTCAGCATCTTTTAAAGGAAAAAACGTTTAATAATATTAATAAATTTTTAGACCGATAAAAATGAATTGAAATACATTTGTATTACCATTATAAAGTCAACACACCTTGAGAAAGCACATTTATTAAGCTAAAAAAACGTTTTCAACCCATTTCATGGGCCATCATCAGGTTAAAGACGTTCGAATAAATGGCTTTTCGAACACGTTCAAATTTAAATTATATTAGAACATACGTTAAAATAAGATTACGTATACAAGCATAACGAAAATTAATAAACAAGAAAAACAAAATAAAATAAAATACAAAATACGGTAATTCTCTTTAATACAATATGTAAACATTTTTTATAATAACTCAGGTTTTATTGAGCCTGGTGGATGTATCCTCTTACGAGTTCTTTCTGATTATATATTTAGATCTAGCTTAACGGATAAATGTTTAAACTCTAAAGATGCAACCATTTTACCGTCGGCATGGAAATATATAATCAGAAAGAACTCGTAAGAGGTTACATCCACCAGGCTCAATAAAACCTGAGTTACTAAAAAAATTGTTTACGTATTGTATTAAGGAGAATTACCGTATTTTGTATTTTATTTTATTTTGTTTTTCTTGTTTATTAATTTTCGTTATGCTTGTATACGTAATCTTATTTTAACGTATGTTCTAATATAATTTAAATTTGAACGTGTTCGAAAAGCCATTTATTCGAACGTCTTTAACCTGATCATGGCCCATGAAATGGGTTGAAAACGTTTTTTTAGCTTAATAAATGTGCTTTCTCAGTAGTAAGGTGTGTTGACTTTATAATGTTAAAGAATCTCAGTTTGAATAGGAGAGTAATTTGTATTACCTTCATTTTGGTCTCTAGAGGTAAATCAGCAGAACACAATTTATCGATTTCGATGAATTTCCTGTACAGCTTGAAAAAATTAAAATAATCATCATAAACAAAATTGAGAATGTTAAATTAAATTTTTAATATAATAATAATTATTATTATAATAAATTTATTTTAATAATATTTGATTCGCTTTTGAACAGCGTGCTATCAGATAAGCTTAACCAGTCTTATTTCATTTAAGCTAAAAATGGCCTGTTGAATAGACTGAAAACGTTAGTTTAACTTCAAATAACTTATCTCAGTAACTTAATGTGTATTTTGCTGGTCTATAAATTATTTTCTGAGTAAGTTTTGTTAATAGCTTTAGATAATGATTTCACTGATATTAAAAGAGATTTGTATACTACAGTCTTCAGTTGTAATAAATTGTTAAATTTGTATGTACCTATTGGATAAACTTAAGTATAAAACATATACTTAAACATTTTCTCTTTACAGAAAATTGTGTCATTTTTAATTAATTGTTGAAAACATCTTTTCTTTTCAGTCGTTTATCACGTTAACTCACTAATAAATTAGAATAACTTATTTAGTCTTTGTTCATAAATAGATTACGAATACTATTAAAATTTCATTTTAATTAATGAAAGAATAGAGATTTTATTCTACAAAAAGGTTTCTAAAAAGATTTACTTAATAACAGACGATAGATTTAAATTCTACTTACCAAAGATGTAAAACGAGATACTTGAAAAGATTCAATCATAGCTCCGACAACCAGAACTACCAAAATAAAAGAAAATACAAGATGCATTACACCATCCAATCCAAAGAAAACAACTGTGCAAAACAGGAAACATATCTGATACATTGTCAGACAATATACAGCAGGGAGGTATATTTCGCAAACTATGTTTATTTCTTGTATATAAGTCCATAAATCCCAATGAGTCTCAATCAAGGTTTCCATTTTATTCTTTAGAAAACTTTCGTTTTTTGTCAATTCATCAACTGCATCAGACAAATACTTGAATCTCTTTGACACCATGACGGCCAATGCACCTATAACAAGAACACAACAATCTAATTGTCCAATTCCGTAAATGCATGCTAATGTGATATTCAGATTACAGAATGCCAGTTCAAACTCGGAATTAGTTATTATCTTTAAAGCAGGATACAGAAATAAGTCAATAGCAGTAACAAACGGAAGTATTGTAAAAAAGAAAAGTGTAAGTACAGCTATAAAAAGTATTTGGATATCATCAGCCATTTTTTCTCCTTCTTCGTATCCACTGTTGTTTCTAGGAAAGTAAAGCCTTTTCCTTTTAAAGAAACTGAATTGAAAAGCTAAAAAAATATAAAATGTAATTAAAATAAATTTTATGAGTATCTTGTTGTTTGGAAACATTCGGATCCATCCGACACACACCAAATTGTTACTTCTTGAGTAGAAAGTATTATGTTAGTCCACATAAATATCTCTTTACCTGTTTGGTACAAAGGATATAACTTTGACAGATATTTCCATTTTTTGGCAGGCTTCTTACAATTGCAGTACGCCATTTTAATTCCAAATATTTCTAACGACAAGAGGACTGGTTGTAGAAAGCAAATAATGCACAAACTGCGTTTTGTGTCACCTGAAGACATCTTTTACTCTTATCTATCTGACTTACTGTAAATCCGAATGAATCTGAATGACTTACTGTAAATCCGAAGAATGTTTGATCAGGATGCAGTTTCTACTCCACGATTATAATGCAAAATACTTTGTTACATAAGTAAATTTAGCTTCTCTTATAAAAGAAGATATTTCTGAATATGACGCAAACGATCGATCTGAGTTGTGTATTGTCATCACGTGACGTAAGTGCGTCGGTGGCCTTCACTAGTAAATATACAGTATTATGTTACTGCATTAAACAATCTTATTTCCTGTCTAAGATTCCAATATTGTAAAAAAAAATTATCGTAATTTGTCTGATTTATTATTTTTCGTTTTGAAATTTGTATATGATGGAATAAATTAAAGAAAAATAAATTAATATTTTAATAATTTAATTTTAGTTTTATTCGAAATTGTATTTTTTTCAGACAAATTTGTTTTATTATATAATGAAACTTTAATCATAATTTTCGTCTTTATAATTAATTTTAATTTGTTTATAGAATTATTCATCACAGAGTGATTTCGCCATTTGTACTTTTAATTAAATATTCGTGTGATTATCGCATTTTCAATCGAAAACAACGTACGTTTTATGTAACTTAATTTTCCTCTGTCGATTTATGTTTTACTTTTGAAATATTAAGATTGTTCTTTCCTCGTCAATCCTTCATAGATTAGATCACAGATTAATGCCGTATAATGAAAGATGAGATCTGCCTATATAAACTTTCTAAGAAGCTGTCTCGAAATTAAGCGATGAGCAAGTAATCCATCGGGCTTTACCTGAAAAATTTCAGATATTTTCGTCAAAAAGCAGAGGAGTTATTAAGCTTCAAACAAAGTGAACAAAATCGTGCCCCATACACAAATACCTATAGAAATTATCTCCGAATTTATTGCGTTTCTCGACATTTCAAGATGTCATAACTACAGAAATGTGGAAATCTTGGGTGCATTTTAAATGGATTACCATACTTTATTTCTTATATATAACGAAGCCGGGAGAGTACAAATTAATCCTTAAGTATTTTTGGGTGTTTATAGATTTATTATTGTTATTATTTGCTATATTCAATATTACCAACATTAAAAAATATAAAATAGTCGAAATTTTATCGAACGAAACATTGTTATTTCAATTAACATTTTAGCGATTAATTTACTTATGAATTGTTAATATACAAGGCCCTGAAGGTTTATTTTAGGGCCTATAAGAGAAAAGAGAAAATATTTTTGATACGATATTACGTAAACGATCGACTACACTTCTCTATTGTCGTCACGTGACAGACAGTGCATCGGTAGCCTTCAATAGCAAAACGGTAAATCTATAAGATCAATATCTTAAAAGCATCTAACTTCAATTTCATTATTTGAATGTTATAATCTGAAATTTCAAAATATATCTTATTTAAAATCTTTCCGTTTACAACATAATCCATTTAAGTGAAATTTCATTAAAAAATTTCATAAATTAACTTAATTTCAAATATTAAATTATTTTTGTTTAAAATTTTATGTATTTTTTAGAAACACTCACGTTATAATAAGAATTGATTGATTTGACACCTTTATGATATTTTTAACCAGTTTCACACTAATTATCATTACTGTTTCCAATCAAAAGATGTTCCAGGAGCTTACGTCACACTAAAATAGACATTTTCAATCAACCGAACATAAGAAAAGTTCGTGTCACGAGTGGAATTCGAATCCACGCCCGCTATCGCGGACCAGAATGTATGCTTCCTCATTTACAGGAAAGGTATACCTTGAGTCTGGCACCTTAGACCGTTCGGCCATCCTGACGTTATTCTGTGATCACGATTGATGCCTAATTAATGGCGAATGTTGATTTCTCGTTATGTTCAAGCAGTTTTATGACAGGCCGACGTTTAACAAACAAAACGATTATTCAATTGCAATTGTTTAGTTTACGGAATTTCGAAAGTAGTTATAACATGTTTTGTCTCTTAAGGCTGTTATACACGTTACGGAAATCCTTTGAGGATTAACCGTGATTTTTTTTCTATCTATCCACCTTTAAATAAAAATAATTCTTTATACGTTGGGAAATATTTTAATATAGTTTTGTAAATTACTATGTTCGATCCAGCCAGTTATATCCGATTTTTTTTCGTCTGTTAAGTACATCCTTTGAAAATTTCCGTAACGTGTATAACAGCCTTTACAAGAAATGAAATTTCCTTCGACTGAGTGATGACGTTAGCTTACGAGTCGTTTTTCCATTTTGACACCAGAGTATTGGAATTAGGGGCGGGAGGTCCCGGTTTACTATAAATGAACTTAATGCAAGACAGAAGTCACTTTATTTCAATTCAAAACTCTTTTCCTGAAAGGAATTAAATAGAGGACAGACCCGAATCTATTGCTAACAGGAAAAGTATGATGTCCTGTACGTGGGCGAGGCAGTACATTACTAATTTGAGATTGAGAGGATATATTTTAAATTAAATAAATTTAAGATATGGCGAAAAATTGCTTGGTATATGTGCAAATTCACATCTTTATTTTCAGTTGTTAAATATTATAAAGATTTGAGAACTTAGTGTGAAATCCGGAATTTTTACCGAATTTTCCGATTAATATCCCGCATTTTTCTAAACCCCCAATTAAATTTTCCTTTAAATTCTAAACGAAAACCTAACTTAAAAAAAGGGAAAAATTCCACTCTCCCCTGTCGTTCAAAGTAAACATTCGTCCATTTCGAAAACAATCCCACATTCCAACTCCAAAGTTGATAGTTAGCATGGGCCCGGGAACAACTTTGACCCATCCGCGTACCTTTTACCTTACAACAAGTACGACAAACACATAAATTTTATTAAAATCATGAAACATCATCAGCATTAAAATCTAATAACTTTCCAAGAGTAACATTACCGTGATTTAAACAATTATTTTGATTTAATAAAAATACGTAATAGACAGTTAAATTCTCTTCACTTGTCGCCATGTCCAATCACCAGGAACAACTGTACATTAAATTGTAAATTCGTCAGCCCTTTCTTTCAAAAGACTTATTTCATTTGTACATGAAAAAAGGTAAAGTATAAAACGTTTATACTATTCTGCCAGCGATTACAACGGTTAGATATTTATTGGTCAAAAGTACTTAGCAATTACGCAATATCACATTGAACATTCTTGATTGAGTGCAATACTGTTCGACATACACGCACTGCATGCTATCCTGCGGTGGACTTTTCTATATGTTCTAAGGCGTCATAATCGTATAGAACACGAACTTCGACGACAGAAAAAGAACAGAAGGTCTCACCGAGATTCGAACTCGAATCGCTGGATTCAAAGTCCAGAGTGCTTACCGTTACACCATGCGACCTCCGGATGAGCTGCTTATCGAAAGCCCATTTATAAGCCAATCAGCGTGCCAACGTCCATTACTTGATTTGTTCGTCACATGCAACGGAAATTTGAGTGTCGCAAAAGAGTGTTCTCAGTCGTATATCGCACAAAGCGAAACATCCTTGCCTTTCTTCGCGTTAACTAATTTGATGAGTATCGTTTAACGATTCGGGTGAAATTCGTTAATTATTTTCGATCTCATGCTGTCTTTCATTGTAGAAATTGCGACGCCCGCCAACTGACAGTTGCATGGTACGATTTCGTGAAATTCAACTGTCAGTTGGTGTCAGTATCATGCCTCTGTTGTGCGAGCGGCGTGACCGCTTTTGATAATAACACGCATGAAACTGTGAGACCCGAAAGGCCCTGGGTCTAATTTGTGAATTTTTATTAAATATGTTTAAATATAGACACGAAATATTACTTCGTTTTTGTGAAAAAAATATTGTTTTAGACGTGGGAAAAACCAGATAACAAATGTTATTTCCTTTCGCCGAAGAGAACATCCTCTATTTTTCCGTATCTGGTTAAAAATCTCGCTCAGATGGGAAATGGTTACCCCTCATTCATCCTCCTTTCGTCCGTTCTCACGAAAGAGTTACTGGACGATGATTGGACGAAAATTTTGAGATATAAAGGAAATTAGTCAGAATTCGAGGAGTTCTTCGACAAATCCGAAGCATCTAAACTCCACGCAGTTTTCCTCCTGATGGCCAACGCCCGTAAAGGNTGGCATTCTGTTCTCAGGGTTGTACT